TTTAGGCTGGAGGAGAGGCATCCTCTTTAACGAGTACATCTTCTCAAGTGATAGTGACATCTTTCTTTCTTGGTGTAAATTCTTGTAAGGACCACAACTTAGATCCTTAAGGATTGCCTGCTGTGGGCAATTAAAAGGTTCTGATAAACATAAAGTCAATCTTTTATCACAGACTTCTCTCTTCATAGGCAGTGGTAAGAGTATCCCTCTCACGGGATGATAAACATTCTAAGCTGATAATTACAATTTTTAAAGGCAAACCCTGTGAAAGAAAGCCACAGTGCTGATCTTATCTTGCAAAGATGCTACATGCTGTATGTTTCTGAACTTCTGTCTGTGCCTATCTTCTTATAATGTAGAGAGAAAATTATTTGTTACAGTGTTTGTACCCAATTTAATTTAGGATGAGAAATCAGTGAGTAGGAGGAGAGGGTGGAAGGAGGGGGGCAGGACCTGCTCCATTTACAGCTCTTAAAAATAGCATGTGAAGCCAGAAACACATATAAAACTGAACTAGCCATACCCACACGCAATGCATTTCCAAACAGAGGATATCTACAGTGCTTCCCAATTATGTTCAGTTCACTGCAGCAGGTGACCCCAATTTCTTTGAAAAATCTTTATAACAGTCCTTTTTCAGGAAACCTGCAAGGGGTGCTGAGAATAAAAGTCAAGGCCATAAGAGTTTCACTTACTTGGGCTTTCTTCAGATTAAAGTGTGTGTATTACATGACCAGAGAGAAAGCTGGAGGAGGATGAAGATGTTTTTCCTGCACGTGGGCATTTCAAGGCAGTGGCAAGATGAGTTGAAGATCATCAAAATAAAAAGATGAGACATCTGTTGTCCTCACCCCTTGCAGGACCTGTGCCCTGCCTCTGCTTCCTTCTCTGACCGCTCCCATGGGCCTGTGGCTTGGCAGCCAGGTGGGGTTGGTGCTGCTTTGATGCTGCTGGGCCCCCCCAGCAGTGGGGATGTTGTTGGATCTGTAAGAGTTGGATCCCAGGTGGATCTGTGATGGCAGATCTTGTAGGGATGTCTGGGATATCTGTACTTACCTAAGCTCTTTTCTTGTTCAACGTCATTGTTAAAGGAATGGAATCACTTTGGTTTTGTGGCTGTTAATAAAGCAGTGCAATGGAGAGCAGATCTGGCTTTATTTAATACATTAAAAAATATATTTATTTTAATATTTATTTCAGGGGCACTGGCATGGTCACAAAGGGCACAGATGAAACTCACTGATGGCACCATGAGGAGGCACCAGTGTAAAGAGCATCAGGCTGTCACGGGAGGGAGAACTGCACCACCTCAGGGGAAAAAGTAATAGAAGTGAAATTAAATTTTATAGTGCAGAGGGTAAATGGGCTTGGGCTCAGGGACTATTATCACTGTTTTGCTCTATAGTGGGAGATCATTAGCTAGGGATGACCGATGCTGAGAAGGATCTGGGGGTATTGGCCATGGGACAACTGAGACCCACCAGTGCTGTGAAAAGGCAATGACAATCCAAAAATGCCTCTGACAGGTTACTTTCAGTAAGGATGAGGGAGAGTTCATGCCATTTTAAAGGGTACTGCTTAGACCTCATCTGCAATACTGCCTCCAGTTTTAATCAGCCATAGCTAAGAAAGATGAATTCAAATATGAGCATTTTGCAATGAAAGGTTAGAAAGTGCCCAAAAATGGAGGAAAAAAAGTGCTTTAAAATCATCATGCAGTTTCCCTGCACTGGAGGAAAATGCCAATCTATGATGTTGCTCGGTTTGTTACCTCAGGTTTTTGGTTTTTTTTTTGTATTCCTTTAACAGTGGACATTTAAACGCTAGATAAACAAAATATAATTTGCTTCACAATGGAGAATAACTCCTCTATCCATTTGCAATAAAAAAGTGTGTAGCTTTGTGCTAAAATGGCCAATTTAAATTGGATTCCAAAGCTATAGTTCGGTCATCAACGGCAGTTTCTAGTAACATGGACCTGAATATCTAAAATAATTTCCAGTGGTGCATAAATGACTTTATGGCATGTGGAAGTATGTACAGGAATGGCTCCCAAGCCAGCAGAAATTAATGAAAATAAAATTTAAAAAATATTTTAAAGAGGAGAATTTATGTATTTTCATTGCAGCCTTAATTCATTGTTATGCCTACTACAACATATACCATTATTATGCGGCCATGATTGTATTTCATCATCTGTGTTATGCCACCACACAATTTGTGGCTACTTTATCCTCTTTTCACTGCTTTCCATGCAGGTTCCATCTGCATGGCACAACGGGCTCCAGGAAGCTGGAACAGCACAACTTGCCCATAAACAACAAGCAGGAACCAGAACACCACAGCTGCCTCCTCCCTCACCCTCTGCCCTGGGTCTCTCTGAAGGTCTGGGGCCAAGTGCTGGTGTTGGGAGGGGTCTCAGCAGTGCCCAAATCACTCCCCAGCTGTGCTGTTTTAGTGCAGCACCTGGGCATTTCATGGCTGTTCCTTTCATCCTCAGCTCCTGCAGAGCCAGCCTGAGTTGTTATCAGTGGTGATGCTCAGCTTTTCATCTCTGCTAGATCCAGGGGCCTGGAGGGAGTTGAGCTGTTCCTGCTGCCTACTTCCTATTTCCTAGAATTTCCATCCATTTTCCATAGACTGGTTGAGGAGGGAAAGTCTCTGAGGATCCTGTCACTATTTTCCTTCTCATAGGAAGTGTGAATTTTACTTTTGGCACACAGATCCAAATTCTGAAAGCAGATGCTCTCCCTTATTTTTGGGGTTGGGCCATCTGTTAAGGATAAGAAAGGTAATGGGTGATAAATCCATCTGTGATCTCTTGGTTTCCCCAAATCTGCATCCCCCTCTCTCTTCACCAGCCTTGGAGGTGAGTGATGGTTCCTATGGGACACATCACAGTCACCTGCTCCTTTCATTTATGGACTAAATACTGTTTTTTTAAAGAAATTCTGGGTGATTTTGATGTAAAGCTTAAATAAATGAAAGGTCTGAAGGTTTTATTAAATAAACAATACAAGAGAAAACATTTTTTCATAGGCATCTCAGGTCAGGGAGCAGGCTGTAGACTGTGAGCCAAGCCTGTGCCAGCTTTCCTCTATCCTTTTCCAAAGGAACACTCACAGCCTCTCCCTTCCCATGACTTGATGAACACCAAACTAGAATTTGGGTATTCCACTTGTGTGACCTGTAAGACCATGGCTATTTTTAAGAAGCATCAATATGCTTCAAAGCATGTAGCAGAGAGTTCCTTCCCTGTGTAATCACCTGTCCAGATACCTAACCCAAAATTACTGGGATGTCAGCACATCTGCATTGAGACCAGCTAGAAGCTGATATTCTGTCCTGTAAGAGAACCTTGGAATAGTCAGAAAACCTTCCCATATCTTCTTACAGGATGCAAACCCTGCCTTAGTCAAATTGTTGGGCTCCAGTGGCTAAATGTGACAGCACTGCTGTTTGCTGTTTAAGACAGAAACAAGTTTCAAGGCTTTAGCTAGGGGATACACAGAAATATTTGCATTAAGCACCCCTGTGCAAAGTCTAGAAAGCACCTGCTGCAATGTTTTGTAAAATATATTTTGAGACTGAAAGGAAAAATGATGTAGAGATGCTAATCAGCTAAACCCATCAATATCTAAGCATGGACCAGAGAACAGTATCTTGGATACAGCACAAACCAACAGACAATATTATTGTCAAGCAGAGAAACTATCAGGTCATACTTCATTTCTTCTCAGCTGTCCAGGGAGTTTATTTAATCTCCAGTGCAAAGGGAGGATTCACAGATATATCTAGCCAAGGCAGAATAGATGTTGCAAAGGCATATTTAATGGAATGTTGTTAAGATTTTATCATGCCCACATGTGAGCTTGGAAATGTGGAAGGTTCAACCATTCTTTTGCCATAGCAAAGAAGATACCCTTTTTAGCATAGATTGTAATCTGCAATACATAATCTTTACTGCAGATAGCATCCTGAAGATTACTGGTTTTATCTATTTCTTGGTCAGTTTGAACTCCATTTTTTATAGTCTGTGAAAATACCTGCACTTTTGTACATGTCATCTGAGAGTGCTTATAAAGTGCAGGTCTGCTTGTCTTTTTTTTTTTTTTTTCTCATTTCTTCAGGGATGTTTCTGTACGATAAAATGAGTTTAAAGTGGTTCTAGTCTGAAGTATCCCCATATAACCAGGCTCAGAAAACCTCACAGATGGAGCCCTCAGGAAAAGATGCAGATGCCAAAGTCTCAGACGGCAGGGAATGCCAGAACCTGGCAGTGGCATTGGACAGCAGGAGAGATGAAAGCTGTGTAAGATGTGACCAGGTGAATGATCTGTCCAGCCTGATGGAAGAGCTGAGAGATGGGGGAGAAAGGTTAAGCCAAGGAGATGGACCAGTGGAACCCTGCTCTGGCCTCCCCACACAGGAGCAGAGACGAGAAAGAAGCAGCCCATGAGCCTCAGTCATGGAGCTGAGGATATCTGTGATATCTGCAGTCTAACACAGAACAGCTACAACAAAAAGTTTACTTTCAAGTAGTTTTTAGCTCTGCAAATTCAAACATGCACACAAGGGACAGAAATTTAAAGTGTGGCCCTTTTGGATGTTTCTCTGACTTGGGATTTTCTGTGCAAGCTACATCAGGTGTAGCAAACCCCACAGTTCTAAAGGTGCTATGTTATTTGAAAAATTCCAGAGGGCAAACATTGCTGGGTATTTGTTTGCTGGACTTGTCCAGGTTTGCATGTTTGCTTAAGCCTTTAATAAAGTATCAAAGGTATGGCAAGCTGCTGTCACTGCTCCTCAAGTCACATTTGTCGCACCACCTCTTAAATCAGCAGCACAGTTACCACTGTTACTCAGCCTTGGAGGTGACTATCCCAAATTTCAACTCCTAAACCTAGACATATCAAAGAAACAAGTTAGCCCATCTCATACTCAGTTGCTTAATTAGCACAGATTCTTCTTGGCTAAAACTAAAGAAAGAAACCCAAATCCATATTTGCAATCATTTTTTAATGTCAATTCATCATATTAGGCATAAATTGTTTTACTTATATCTCTAAAAACTCACAAATCTCAAGAATTAGCATGCTAACAAAAAATAAATTAAAAATTAAATACCTACAGACAGCACCTTTTTGGGGAAGCCAAGGCCAAAAAAAGGCATGTGTATTTGAGGAGAACTCCCAGACCATAAGCATGAATAGCATTAAAGCTGGGTGAGACAGCATTGTCTCTGCTTCTGCATTTCTTAAGATATCTGATGTGAAGAGGAAAAATAAGGCCACAGATGACAGTGCTATTGTGCTGACTTCTTTCTCAAATCCTTGTGCCTGGGAAAGAAGAAAGCACAGAAAACACTGTTGACAATTCTATTGCATAATACTGAAAATGCTGTCCCTTGCTTTTCTGTAATCACTTTTGCCTTTAAACATGTGATTTAGCTACAAATTATCACCCTGACCACAAGCACTTCCTCCATAAACTCACTGAAAAGCAAATTAACCTTTTCTCTCTAGAATGAACTCTCCTATTAATATGAAAATCAATTCCATCCTTTTTGCTTTGGTTACCCCAGCCTGTTGGCACTTCCCAAGCTGAATAGTTAGTCGCTTAGGCAGAATTCATTTTAAGAGCCAATTAAAAAACCCAACCCAATAATACAGCAAGTGATCTTCTGGAAATCTTTTCATTACCGTGTGGTTTATAATTGAAAAACAGGATGTCTAATTATTGCCCTCATTCTTCCTTCCTGACCTTGGAGCAGCTCCACAGGTGGTGAACACCGGTGCAGTTTAGCACAGCAGCACAACTTAACATCAGCCCATGGCACCCACACACTTTTCAGCTGGCTGCAGATCCAACACATTTCTGGGCATATCTCTGAGGTCATTTGTCCACTGGATGACTTTATCAGGATCAAACTTTCCTTTTCATGTTGTAAATATTATTTAGCACCTGTTCTGAAGTGGTTTGCCTAAAATCTTACTCGTAGAAACACGTGGGCTTTTTATTACCCAAGGAAAAAAAAAATCATTCAAACAGCAGAAGTCCGTCAAGATCAAAGAAACAAAGCCTTCACACAGTGAAGACAGAGCAGCAACAGAATCCAAATGCTGGATAGCTGTGGACACACAGGGCAATGGGAAAGGATACACAGGGTTTTTCTTTGTTCTCACCATCCTACAGTCACGGCAGATGCTAAGGAGTATTTTCTCCTCTGCTTGTCAGTCTATCATCTCTCTCACCAAAACCCGAAGAAGGTTAGTAGAAAGATATTTCTGTTTTCTGTGCTCTCTCTATTTTTTCCTAGACTCAGTGACGCAGCTTTGGTTTTCCTCTCCCCACCACCATCAATGTATTCCTCTTTTGCAGGGAAGAATGTCTGCATTCTGCAGGATGCAGCCATATCCATTCTCATTCAACAATGGGCTCTGAAAAGTTAATGTGTTCAGACTTCTGATTATAGCAAAATAATTAAATCTGCAGTAAAACACTGACTCATGTGGTACCTTAGCAAAATGTCAGATTTCATGGTGGCACAGCATCACTTCTGTCCCCAGGCTCTCAGGAGTGTTGTTTTAAACTCTTTGATGACTCAAAGGAGATTAAAAGCATATGTTTTTAGGACGCTTTCAGAAACATATAAAAGGCAGAATGAAAAAAGCTGAGATTCTGTGGCAAGGCTGAAGGTTCTTGCAGTGAGAAATGCTGATGAGAGATCTGTCACACAACTCCTGCCTACGTGCAAGCTTAGGGACATGATCCAAAACCACATCCAAGCACCCTGGAGCAAACCCACTGATTAGCATCCTAATTCTGGCCCTGCCCAAACACCACTGGCAACTTTCTCACGTCTCTGTAGGTATCTAAAGAATTGCTGCATTTCTCAAAGGCTCAAAGAAAAGCTTGTGTCAGCTGGGGCCTAGAAACAAAACCTCCCTCCAAATGAGGACTGAACCGTGGGTTTTTGGAGGGCATGTAGAGGATACAGAGGCAAGAGGTGGTTTTCTTTTAAAAGATGGCCAAAGGAGTGTGGGAATCCAGGGCTTCCCTCTGGCTGCCCTGGAAGGCCTGGGACCCTGGCAGGGGGTCAGGACCCCCCCTGTACAGAGCCCCCAGAGACACTGTCTGTGATCTCTGTCCATGGAAAAGAGTTTTCAATCTTACAGAATGAATTACAAGCTCTGAGTGTTTGATAAGAGTAATAATTAAGTGTGGCATGGGTGCAAAGGTAAAATTTTAGGATTCTAGATTAGGGGTCCAAAGGGGACAAGATGGAGGAAATTGGGTGTGTCTTGTCCTTTTTCTCCTTCTTCATGCCCTCCATGTTTCACTGTAGTGTTGGCATTTTTCTATTGGTTTAGGCTGGGGACACACTGTTCAACGTAGGTGACAGATATTGGCACATTATTGTAAATATAGCACAGGTAGTTTCTGGTATATAATGTTTGTACCATCCCACTGAGGGCAGAGCCCCACACGCTGCCCTGCAGGACAGAGCTGCGGCAGGGCAGCAGAACATGTTAGAGATAAACAGAATAAACAACCTTGAAACCAGCACAGACGAATTATGGCTTCTGCTTTGGCAGCGGCGCTGAAAGACAGAGACTTTCTACAATCTCAGAATCATCTCAATACCATGGATTCCTACAAAGGAGCACGTGGGCCCCCTTTTCACACAGCAGCCTTGTTGTGTGGGCAGTCACCCAACAGACAAGAAAATGGGAGCTGCTCCTGGGACTGTAGCAGTGTTTTCTATGCTTTGGAATAAGCCAACATTGGATAAACACCCTTGGAAATCAGGGACCTTATCTTTTTTTTCTGGCCCACTGCACCTTGGGTTAATTTAAGAGAAATTCAGCACATTTTCTTCCTGTCTGAACCAGCAAATATTTAACTATTTCTCACCAAAGGTATTTAACTATTTCTCACCAAAGGAAACGTGAGGTCTCTTCCATTTCTCTGGGAATAATTGGCACAATGCAAACCCAGCAAAATCTTGAAGACTGCAAAAAGGAAAAAAAAAAAAAAAAAGGGAATTATGAGAGCTCTCCTGGTTCCTGGGGGATAATTGAAGACCCCAGTACTCACATGGGCTCATGCTGGCTGCCATCACAGGTTCTCACTGGCAAGGACATGAAACACCTGTAAGGAGAGTAAAGCATGCATGTAGGTCTGGATCAATTTACTTGGTGGCTGGAAAAGGAGAGGGAATTGGGGCACAGGATGGAAAAGTTAACAAAGAGGCAGGGGAGGGGCAAAATAAGGATGAATTTTCCTGCCATTGCACATCCACATGCTGCAGAATTTTGGGCATTGATGGTACTAAAAATGTCCTTCTTATTATAGGTGTCTCCTGAAAAAAAAAAAAAAATCAGCCCATCGATGTACTGCTTTGAAATTAATCTTTACCTTTTTGCCAATGTGTACATTTGAGAAGGGAACACAAAATACTTTCCAGAAGTATAATGTTAGTATCTGTAAATGTATTGCTGACCTCTTTATCTTCTTGTTCTACCACTTGTCATGTGCCCTAGGCCAGTGTTGCTCTAACAGCTCTATTGAGTAGTACAAGCTGAGCTGGAGCTTTGAGGTATTTTTTTGTCTGTTCGCTTGTTAAACATGTGCTCTGCTTTTTCTAATGGTGTTAAACTGAACTCCCTGGATTAAGTGGTTAATACAGGTCAAAATTAGTCCTTCAGGGATAGGCCAGCCTCGGCTTGTTACTTCTCTCGCCTGCAGAGATAGGCTGTGGTGTTTGTCTCCTCATGTAATTTTATGGTGTTGCTGGGTACTTCCCAGTAATTTCAAATACTGGTGGCTTTGCTAAAATCATCTGTCAATAAAGCTCCTTTTTAATAAGCTGCTGCTTCATTTCTAACTTGTTTCAATGCTGATTCAGACCTTTTTTAGGAATGTCTACATATTGCCTTTACCCTCATGAATAGAAATACCTCCTTAAATCTTTCAAAATACTTAGCTGCCCTGCACAGTGTGGTGAAGAGGGTGAAATAGAATATATTATGAAATGTCATAGTCAACTCAAACCAGATGAGCAATTAAGTGAATGAATAATAATTTTGCAGCACTGTTTCTTCAGAAACCTTTAATTTCGACATCAATAGGCATCATACGTATCTCAGTGTGAAATAACAACTTTATATCTTTGGTCGGTCCTGATGATAGCAGTGCTTAGAAAACAAAATAGAGGCATCTATGACACTGTTAATGGAATGATTAAAGCTGCAGATGAAAATGCACAGGAGAAGAAATGTTCCGTTAGCTAATTTGCTTTGTGCTTTTATAGTGTCTCCTGTGGGAGAATGTGGAATTCTAGGCCTGGCTGCACAAATCCAGAATGACTGCTGGCTCTACTCTAGTTGTGCTGATCTCCCTAGGCTGCCTCTGTAGTCAGAGAAGGGGCAGAAGCTCATGTTGCCACTCAGAACTGCCCTGTCTCATTAGGCAGAGTTTTGTGAATTAACACCACTTGTTCTAGGTTAAAGTTATTACAGTTCATCCTCACTGTTTCAATTCCTGATAGCTGAAATTGAAAAGCCTTGTTTTGCACTAACACCATCTCTTGCATTGAGCTTCCTTGTTTTCTTTTGTAATAAAGAGAAAGGGGACTTTGTCCAAGTTTAAAGGCAGTTTATCTTTATAGCCCTCAGTACAGAATCCATCATTAAAATTAAGCATGTACTTAATTGGTTTCCTGAATACAGATGGATTTAAGCACATGCTTAAATGCCTTGCTCACTTGAGGTCCTAATGGACCATGCAAATTTAAAAGTTCACTTCTCATTGAGATAAATGGAGTGGATAATCATAGATTTATCAGAACAGAAGCTGATGCTCACTGTATATGTTGGCAGCATCTTGCAGTATTGTCCTCTCCCTCTGCCTGGGATATCTGGAACTTGTTGAAGCCAAAAAGTAGCAACAGAATAAGAACTGGTTTTCTTCACTCAGAACAGATCACCAATACAGTATTTGATGGTAAGATATCTATGCATGTGTGCATGTGCCACAGAGAAAAGAAATGTTTTCCAATATGAAATCTCATAATTAAAAAAATACTGGAAATTAAATGGAAGGAAAAAACCCAAGGAAACAGAACAGTCTTATGACTGAAAAATTCACCAGCTACTTCATGGCTTTGCACTGTCTTTTCTAGTATTTTTTTTTTCATCTGGATAAGGGTTGTTGTAATGGTTAGCACTGAACACTCTGTCCAGCAAGGTGTTTCCTGAGAAGCAGCCCAGCAAAGACTAGACAGATGCAGATTTGTGTCTGGGTTTTTCTTGTATTTGATAGGATTTTCCTTTGTTTTATAAGGATTAAACCCATGTTTCCTCAGTAAGAAATCAGTAGTTTCTGGGGTGAGTTGCCCTATTTTGAAATAGAGAAAATATGGGAAATAGTCCAAAAACTTACTGGAAGCAAGAGGAAACAGATCAAAACAATATATTCATACAGATACCATTATTTCAAATGCCATTCTTTTGGAAATAAGAGTATGAATTTTCCTTAAATCTAATTGTGGTGGACATGTGGTGCATAATCCAGTGATGGGCTCTGGGCATTTGGTGCTTTTTAAAGCAAAGTGCACAGAATAGTCTCACCAGTTGTTGCCTTTGCTTATACAAGGCTCAGCCCCTATCATTTTTTTTTATTTCTTTATATGTTATAACTTCTAGGTTTGTTTTGAGCCATGTTGGATCACAGAACTAAAAATGCTGGAAGCTAAAATAGCAAGAAACTCTGTCTAGAAAGGTGACAACCAGGAAGTTTAGCACCTTGTCCCTTATGATGCATTTCACCAAGCTATGCATGCTACATTATATAACTATTTTGTTATCACTGTCATTTTACTGAAGATCACAAAACAAATTAAGGTATTTATGAGAATTGTAGAATTACTTGGGGGGCGAAATTAATGTTTTACAATAAAAGAATAAAGAAGACAAACCCGTTTCATGTCTTTAAGAAAAGTGAAAAGATATTATGTAAGAACATGCTGTCATTATATTGATCTGTAATACTGCATTGCTGTGGTCATAAACTTTGCACTGAGTCTGCAAAGTGTCAGAACTTGCTCTGTCTGAACTTTTCTTGACCTGCCTGCAGCCTTTTTTCGGTTGATTTGTTTGTGACACCAATTTCTCCAACTCTTTAGGACTTTCTGACCGATTTGCTTTACTTTTGTTTATCTTTCTGTGGTGCTACCATGGTTTCACCAGTTCTGGTAAATGTGGGCCAGGCAGGATAGGAGAGACACAGAGCGCAGTTTGGAGGGCCAGAGACCTGGGATGATGAAATATGGAACACAGACTTGACACCAAAGGCCCCACAGCTAGAAACACAGACCTGGAGCTGGGCTACTCTGCTTTTTAGGATAATCAAGCAAACAAAGAAATTGTATTGAGCACATGTAAATCCGCCTTTAAAAAAGGTTGTGACTCAGAGGTGCAGATCAGTGAAATAAAGCCTGGCTGTAAAAGCATGTTAGTAGACACATAAAAGTGACCCCAAAAGAATCCAACACAGAGAAAGAGGAAAACTTCAAAGTGAACTTTGTACTGGCTCCTGGTAAAGGACTTTAGGTATTGACAAGTCACTGAGAACACAGCCTCCATGAGAAAGAAACCCCAACCCAAGGGGTAAGAGGAACACCAGAAGGGTGAGCAGAACATCATGAAAAGAGGTAGAAACTAAGTATGTTTGTAAAAATTTAACTGCATTATTTTTTTATTACTGAACATTTTCCGCACAGACTTATTCTTCTCTTTTCATAACATTTATATGTGGAATAATAACAATTTTTGGATGAGACTCTTAGGATTTCTATTGTACTAATGATAAATTTTGACTTTGTGTATAAGGTATGTTTCCTCTTTGCCTGTAAACAAGATTTTAACTACTTAGGGAAGAAATTTTGAAATCATATAACTCTTTTACACTACCAGAAAGCAGTCTATGTAGATCCAGTGCTCAGAACTTCATATAATGAAATAATGAAATAAGTTTTATCAGCTGCCAGCAATAATAAATACATACTAAAACAAAAAAAGCAAACTGTGCAAAACAGGAAAACGGTCTTAAGAAGGAAATGCTAAACAGGAATATGCTCTCTGTAGGAGTTTGTTTTGGCTTTGTCCTTTTGCAAATGGCAGGCTTTAAGCAAGAGGGAAATAATACTGCAGTTCATGAAAATAGTCTGCCCTCCCTTGTACAGTTGCTGGGGTGTTGTTGCAGTGGCTGCCTGCTCTGCCAGGATCCCTGTTTGTGCTGCCATGAGCTCTTCAGAAGTGTTGCTTGCTCAGGCTCGGAGGATTTCCATCAGGAGAGCGGAGCGGGATATTGTCTCCACGCTTCTCAACGCTCAAGCTCAGGAGAAAAAAAAAAGATGCTCCGTGCAGTCCTCACTGAAAGATCTTGGCTTTTCAGGGGCTTGGAAAGATGTACATAGAATAAATTTTTACTGCCAAAATGGATCTTATTATTTGGAGTGGTTTAGGCTACATTTGTACAACACAGCACGTAACTGTTCTTTGGAGAGCTGCGGCGAGGTTTTTATAAGAACATGGAATGGAAGCAAAGAGGTCGCATTAATTTGTGCTTTCATAATGTTAGGACTGTAAGGAAATATATTTTAAATAAGAATTGACATAGGAGACCTTCATGATAACAGCTTATATTGAAGGAAATCATTCTTATACAAAATATTTCTCGAGGCTCATAAAAGATAGCAATAACAAACACCATTATGCAGTATCTGGGAAATTCTATTTACTTAAAATGCTTTCTGCTTTTATTATTATACAGGCTTGTTCCTTCAGTGGAAGTTCTGATTGAAGCTTGAGCAATGTGTATGATCTCATTACACCAGGGCTGCATTAGAAAATCTGATAGTGATAGCTCCAACAATGGCACCTCTCAGTTATTATCTGTCACTTGGCTACAACAAGAGCCGTGCAAATTTCCTGCCATCAAATTCTGGCAGGTGGCTGGAAAACAATATAATATTCCACATGTACCCTGTTGCACTTGAGGGAAAAAAAAAGCCTGTTCAATATCCTGAGTGTGGCTGGTTTGGAGCACAGGCTGCCCCACAGGCAGTGTTGGGTCACAGGCGGGTTTCTGCTTTGCTGGGGAGGCTACAAAAGGCCACCATGTAATATGGATACACATCAACAGGAATCTTTTCACTGTACACCTTCAAGCAAGTCACAGACAGCTTTTAGGGCTGTCATGCATTGATTTCTAGCAACTGATTCCTTGTCTCCTCATTGCCAGTTTTCTACTGCATGCACATGTCCAAAGCCAGCTAGATTTTTGTATCTGAAAGATGCAAGAGGCTAGGCAATGTCATATGTTACATATCTGCATATAAGTACATATCTGCTTTCAAATTTTAGAGAAAGGAAGGGGGGAAGACTTTCTTCTCTTGTGCTGTGTAGCCCTCCTAAAGTAATTCAACATTATTCTTCACCTGTCCTGTACTTTTGTAGGGTTTGTCAGTACTGACAGCTACAAGTGGTAGTGTAGGGTTACCAGCTTACAGGACCTGCATCAGTAGGGTCTTGAAATAAAAAGCAAACCTTTCCCACTAATCTGAAGTTAATAGTTGTTTAGCCCTTTAAATTAGGATTAATTGGGGGGGGGGGGGGAAATTCTGAACACATCACAGAGTAAAGCAAGTTAGCAGGCTAAGCAGGAAAAATTCAGAACCTAAAATGTGAGGAATAAAATGTATGAAAAACTGGAAAACAAATATCCCTCTTGAGAAGGATGGGTCCTTTTCTCCAGGCTTCCTTTCAAACTTTTAGCAACTTTCAGTGTTTCTGTGTTTGAGATAAGGTGTCCCTTCTCCTGGCTTCTATTTGGAGTTCTCATTGCCAATTTCTGCCATTTCTGAGGCTTCCTGTACATTTGCCCTCCTCTGCAGTAGCTTCTTGCTCCCTTCAGAAATTCTCCAGTACCCACTTCTTCAGTCTTTCCCCTGATTTCCTCTTCTCCCACCACTTTTCCTGCCCTTCCCTCCAGAGGAATTGGGAGTCTGGCTTATTTGGATGTTCCAATAGAAGGTGTAGGTCCCCTTCCTCTCTTATTTCTAGGGTATTTCTCTCCTAACCACAGCACAGGCACCAGCACCAGCCTTTTTCTCTGCTCTCCCTCTTCACAGCATTCCTGTAATGGTATCACATGAAATAAATTCCATGTGCCATTGTGTAAGTGCCTGCTGAGGATCTAAAGCCACATTAACCAGCCTGGTCTGCTCTAAAATATGTTTGTGGCAATGGCAGCACAAATCCCTGGCTGAAATGAGCACATGGTATCCTCCCCTTCTCCTTTCTTACCTTTTTCTGTTTCCATAACGTGGGGTTTTTCTGGCTCATTTGTTGATAAATCCTGGTGGAAGCCTCACGCTGGCCATTTTGAAGACATTTGCTGACAATCTGGTAGACAGGCTTGCTGAAATAGAAAATTTCCATATTGAGAATGTTTACTTTTTTCCTTTTTTATTCCCCTGAAGGACTAGAAGTACCAGAACAAAGTTCCTGAAGAAAAGCTATTGCTTTCACTTTGTTTATAAGTGCACATCTTGATGAAATTCTGTGACTAGTTAGCTGCCAAAAACATTTAACATTATGAATTAATAAACCCATGAATTTTGTATAAGATGCTTTCTGGATTGCCTTTCTTGCTGCTGATTGCCATCTTTCTTAGCAGAATAAAGCCTCCTGCTTGGGGTTGTTGCTGACACCTCAAAGTAGCTCATTTATCCAGGCAGTAAAACAGATTTAATGAACCATGGGATACACATGATTTTTCAGAAATGACCATAATGACAATGGTTGGTGGATAATAACAGGCTATTTACCTGTGCCTGAGTTGCTTCAAATTTATTTTCTTCGGACAATTTCCTAACCCTGGCTACAGCAAAAATATGATAGAGTTGTAGGTGTACAAGCAATTTGTTAATTAAAATTAATGCTGCATTATTGAACTGCTGCATTAAGCAGATAGGTCTTGTGAAGAAAGCATGATCAGCTAACCAAGCAAATCTGGGGGTCTGGCCAGTTTAAGAGATGAAGGATTTCACTCATAAACTGCCTACAATCTTCCTGGTGGTTGTGAGCATTTATAATCAGCATATCCTTAGGATTATTGATTCTCCCCTGTAAAGTGCAAAGCTTGTTCCTGTTGATGTCCAGGTCATTGGACTGATGTGTTTACCAAAGGGAATAAGAAACCCCTTTACATTCTTATGTGAGCGAATCAGATTTACGTATAATCGGGTCGAGGATGATGGATTAGAGGGGTGGGTGATTACTGGAGATGGCATCAACACTTTAATGCATGACAAATGCTTCCTATCCAGAGTTACTGAACTCTAGGAGTGAAGAGAAATTCGGAGTTTTGTCTCACCTTTATCAAAATTTGATTTGCCATATAACACAGCAGCAGTTATGGGGTTAAAATGCACACATGTGTAAAGAATAGAAATATATATATATAAGTAATCAGGAAAAAACAGTAGGTAACAAAATCAATTCAGCAGAGGCAGTTAGATATCCTGGGTAGGTTTTATGTGAGATTTAGACATTGAATCCAAAAACACAATTCACAAAACCCTTTCTTAACCTCACTGGCATCCAAAAGGATAAAGATACTTGGATGTTCACCAGAAAGTTCCCTGGTGTTCCTATTCTGCTCAGAAGTAACAAAAAGCAATCTCCCTCCAGATATTCCCTTCTGGATGAGGATTCTCCTTGCTTTGAAGACTGTTTTGTAGTTTCATTTAACTGCCACAAATTCAAGACATAGAACTCACTGAGCTGGAGGACTGTGCTCCATTTTCTGTCCTTTCTCTTTGTCACCAAAATCAAATTCCTTTGTAACAAAATAGGAAGAAATTGTCCATCTATAGGTGGCAGATTTAGGTACCTACATCTTTGAGACTACTTGGGTGCTAAGATCATTTGATCATCACAGACCTTGAATGGCTCCTGTGCCACTGGTATTCATTGGGCAGGTAGGATTTAACCTTGGGGATCACTTAAGTGCTTTGCTAATTAATTTCTTAGATCTAATTATGGACCTGAGCTTGGATTTACTTTATGTTACTATTTTTATGTAGCATAAACACAAACATAATATAGCTTTCTCAGACAAGCTAGCATTTCAAAATAAACTCCAGCATCTACATGACAGAAGATGAATTTTAAGCATTTTTAGGAGAAAATTTTGGCACTTATGTAAAGAAAAATAGAGGCAGAGAAAAGAGTTGCAGTGATAATTTCCAAGGAGCTGAGTAATCTTGATACTTTTTTCACGTGCATCCCACACCTTCAAAGAGGATACATTCAGCCTCTTCTGTGAGTGGAGAGTTTTGAGATGTGTAACATTTCCTGTGTAACAACATATCAGTTTAAGGTTGTGATGAGAAAAAAATTGCTTTCAAATATCACAAGTTCAAAAGTACAGCTGAAATTTGAAAGTATTAGTTTCACATTCTACTTAAGAAAAACTGTGAAAAGAGAAGCGGAGAGGAGACTGAGGATAAAATTCCAATAAAAATAAGATATCTATATCTAGGCAGACAGTTGGTATTATATATATCTATATAATACTGTGTGCATGACAAATATGGTAACAGAGTATTAAAGCTGCATGGTTAAGCAGTCAAAAGTTTGGAAACAGCCTAGTTAAGGTTGCTTGCTGTGCTGCTCTTCTCCATCACATTGTGAACACATTATGATTTTTTTTTTTAAACTCCAATACTTCTCTGCATAGTCTTTTTCAGATAGAATAAATATTTCTTTTATATAACCTCAGGAAACTTGAAATGTTGTTTATTCCTCTAAGCATTTGTGGATTTTCATTATCATAGTGGTGCAGAGAGTAACACAGATGCTCAGGCTGTTTTTTAGCCTTTTGTACCATTCAGATGGCACAGAAGGGCCATAAACCAGACACCACCAACCCACCTCCCCACCCTCCTCCCATATTTCCTTCTGTTGTGTCTGATATAGATGCTTTTCTTCTGCCGCCCTCCTTCTGCCACTTTTGCACTAAGTAAAATGAAACACAGCAGCACAGCTTTTCAAATGAGGGGGAAAAAAGCTGGCAACAGCCTTCCTCCATCATCACTCCTGTGTATTAAAAAAGGTGCAGAGCAGCAATTCTTGCTTGCCCTCATGTGATTTTTCCTTGTCTATCTCAGGCTGGGTGGAGACCTGGGGGAATCTAGGTCTAACTTGGGTTTCATAGCAGTCATGATCATGCTTCAACTCTTCCATCCTCCCCCCACAGACACATGGTGTCCTCTGTTTGGGAGTACTGCTGAGCTTGCAGAGAGCAGTTTTTTCCCACCTGGCTTCTGAGGGGTCCCCAGTTCATTGCTGTCAGTCAGCAGAAAAGTTCCCCAACTTCTGTGCAGCTTGGAATCAGCTCACCTACAAATTCATCTCCCTGATAAGCACAAAAGCTTCAGCTGCTACTCCTTGGATATTTTTCTTGGCACAGAATTGGATCTCTGAATTTGATTCCTCTCATTTTCACACTGGTGGCTTTTATGTCTTCTAACCTCTCAATCTTGAACCAGAGCACAGCACTGTAAATCTTGTACCCACAGGAAAGGGCACAAGCCTACTGTCTCCTAAAAAACCTGATATCAATGGTCTCACAACTGAGTTGTGCTGATGAAAACCTGGACTATGAATTTCAATGACCATTTTATTCTGAGGGTCCAAATATTTGCCAGAGCATCTGATGGAGAGCAGAAAATGTTTGTGATAAATGTAGAAATGTCCAGTGCATTCGTGTTCGACATGGTCAGGCAGTTCAGAGGGCAAGATCACAGCTGCCTGCATATCCCTTCCCTTTCCAGGTAGGAGCGAGCAAACACCCAGGGTTGGATGTCGTTAATAGCTTTACTACTTCTAGATGATTACCAACACCCACCTGGTAGAGATCACTCCTGAAACTGAGGAACATGAATGTTCCTTCATTCATTTTTGGATAAAATCTGCAAGGTTATTGTACATGACCCTCATCACCAGTTTAAGCTAAGGTGGAAGTATCTGAGAGGAAGAGAACCCACTTGGTACCAGAACTTCTGTCTGGGGCTAATGACCAGGGAAGAGAAGGGGAAAATGGGGAGAGGGGCACAGGCTGGCAAAGCAAAGGCATTTGTATGCCTTTATGGTATCTGCTGAAGGCTTCTTATTCCTATATTTATTTACTCAGAGCTGAGGCTTCAGCATTGCCTTGACTCTTACATGCTCTCTGTAATGAGTGTGCAGGGGATTCAAACCCATTTTACTGCATGGCTGACTAACAGACTAAAGCAAAAGGGGCAAAATATAAATTGTCAGCATGAGGTGGAAGCAACACATAAAAAAAATTCGTATTGTGTCTTTTCAGCTTCTATTTCATTTTGGAAGATAGCATAAAATTCTTACCTGAAGTGATGTTTTTAAAGCTTAAGGAACACAATGTGATTCTGTTATGTGACTTCATGATCTTTTATAAACCTGTGCTTAGTTTAATAGATTTCTATTCTAAAGTTATGACAGGACAAAAAAGAAAATATAATGTGTTGAAAACTCAGGGCAAGATCAGCAAGCTGTACAAAAGAAAGTAAAAAATGCTTAACTGGGAAAGTCAGCAACTCTTCAGCAATTTTATTATAAATAACTCAATTAGATTGTATAATTCCCATGATTGCCAGAGACCTCATTGATTACTCACAATGGTACTGCATTAGGCTGCTCATAATGAGATGTTTATTTTAATAACTATTTTCTATGTGGATTTACTAGTTTGCAGAAGCACTAGGTTAAGGATACTTCAGTTAAGTGACTCCAGAATGAATTTAACATAATAAGGAGGACAGATGGGCTTTCAACTCCACAGCAACAGTAAAGAAAAGCACAGATCGCTGCAGCACAGATCCTTCCACACTGTTCTTTTTGCAAATAAAATCTACTGACATTGGCTATTTCTGCTTAGAAATAGCCAATATAACAAGTTAGAATCTTAGTCAATAAAGGCTCAACACTTGTTGAGCTTGTGTTAAGCAGCAGCTTAGCCTGGGAAGAACAATTGTCCATGTTTCTTTGACACGTACTGTAATATATGGAATTGCACTGGGAACAAGGTAATGGGTACCTTCAGCAATGGTTTGAGATCCTGGCCTGTAATTAGTGATGAAAATAATGGTGTTTGAGTTTTACTAGAACTTCTATGAGAAATAGATTCATTTTACCTCCTCTTGTTTCTAATCCCCATTTTGCAGGCAAATCTGGGTTCTCTTTGCTGCTTCCCTAACACCTCTTTGGTGAGCACATTTCAATATGTGAGCTATTACCCTGTGTAGAAAGCTCTCCTGGGAATCCAGCTGCAAGTCCATCTCTGTGCTCAAAGTCATTATCACTCTGGCATGATCCAAAGGCATTCACAATATCTACAAACAATCAGGGAACAACTAAAGATGCAGTCTCAGCAACTGGAATTTAAAAATCCATTTCAAACACAGAGGTACTGTAATCTGTACAAAATTATTAGATTTCACACAACTACTGAGCTATTTTGACAATTTAGTCCTCAAAAATCTGTACCAATAACTATATTGCGAAATACAGAGGCATCGGCACAGCATGATGCGAGTCTCTGATCTCAAGTTAATCTTCCACAATAAAATGACCTAGAAAGAATTTATTTTTGTTTCTTATGTGGCTGAGGGGTTTGAGCTACACTCTGCAGCTGGGGGGGGCTTGGAGAAGATTTCATTTGATACTTCTTTTTGTCATTTCTGTTAAACCTCCACTTACCCTCATTAATCTCACAGCAGACTCTGCCCAGCACCTTCCCGTGTAAGTACGACTTCCCTGTTGGGAAGGCTGAGCAGATGCTTGGTAAAACGTCCAAGATTTGGGCCAGCACATCATATGTTATGGATGAAAATGTCTCTGGGCAGGTTTCAGAGGTATAGCTGTAGCCACAAGCTCCCACTGAGGGCTTGCCAAAGCCTTTTGGAGAGAGTGCCCAGTCTCCTGTAATCCCTGCTGGATCTGCACCAGGGCTTGAGGAAACTCCAGACTTGCCCTGCCCAGCACTTCAAGCTCCAACAGCAGAATGGTGCTCCATGGACCCTCTTCTTGCTGTTTGATGCACTGGTGTACACAAAGAGAAGCTCTGAAAGGATTGTCCCAAGAGTCTCTTTCAATATTAATCAGTCTTATCCATCACAACTCCCTCTTAGACAATACAATTCCATCCCTACTCTGGATAGATCTGTTTATTATCCAAAAGTAATATTAGTTCCCAGAAGCAAAATTAAACAAATTCATTGAAAAATATACAATTAAAATAGGACTGAAGAAAGGCTTTTTGGAGAAAAATGTGATGTGTGTTCATGCATGTGTATGGCTTTGGTTATATAGAGGAAGAAATTAGAGGAGATACTGCTTTTATAAACTCTCATGTCTGACAAACAAAGTAACTGCCACATTTATGACTTTCCTTTTCATGGGAAAGGGGTTATTAAGGTTCTCTTCAGATTGTTACAATCTGTTATGATTTCACATGAAAAAAATTACATCTAACATATAATGGAAGTATTTTAGTGGATCTTGGTCACTTTGAACCCACTTATCCATAATGCTTTGCAAACACAAGCTGCAGTAGAGGGAAATGTCATCTTTTCTCCAGAAAAGATAAAGGAGCATTAAACCGAAGTTTGTGACAGTTCATCTTCTTACACAAAGACAAAGGAATTATACTGTACAAGGACCATTTCAGGTTCATGATATCTGTTTTAATAACCATGATCAAGGCTGCAATTTCAGTCAGTTTTTTACTTTGAATCTTGAACTTTAAGAGGTTCCCTGAAGACTCCATTTTAACATGCATTGCAGAAAATAAAACATATACATGTATATATAAAATGCTTAGTTTTAATAATTTTATCTAAAACTAATTGTCTGTGTCTAAAATTTTCCCTTCCTTTTGTATTAGATAAAAGCATTAACTGTATTTGCTATATAATTCCTTTTAATCTCATCTGGGTTTTACTTTTTAAGATTAAGAATCCTGTGGGGAGGCTGGAAATCTCTGTTTTAATCCATACACAGACTTGTCTTTTACCATACCCAAATCTCTCTCCCATTTGCCAGAAGACATTGTAGTGACAATTTTCAGGCAAAAACACTACATGAAGAATAAGGCTGGTTTTCAGACAAGTTTAAAGGCTAAGACATCACCTGTATTATTTATTAAAGAATATTTTAAAAAATAGCTGAGACCAAATGCAATTAACAAAAGCAGAAGCACCTGAAGAAAAGAAAATTCATCACTATTTTGCTTATTTCCACATTTAATTTGGTGCCTAACCCTTTTATCTTGAAACGTAGGAAAAGAAGATGCTTGGTGTTCACACAGTATCAGAAAGCTAAAAGAAAATTTGCCCTTGAAGAAAAGAATGGAAAGGAGAAAGATACTGGAAGAGATTCAAGCAGCTGAGTCCAAGTTTTCTTTTAAGTTTCAACTTTGTCTGAAACAGAGTTTGACTCTCAGTGCTGCTGACACTGCATAAAGTGAACCCACCAGTGAGGTTTAGATGAAACCCGTGTAAACAGCAGCAGATTTCATGCTGTTCTAATACAGACCCCTGTGAAAGCACAACTGTTCAGAAAAATATGTAATATACTTCGAGTATGTGGACCTACAAACCTCAAGAGGCACCACTGCAATGGTTCTGGCCGAATGACTTCTAATTTGACACTGAAGAGGCAACCTACCAAGTAATAACTGTGCAAAGTGCACAGGGACAATAATAGCTACCATAGCTGTGTTTTTAGCACAAGGAGTTCTTGCTATATATTAGTGCTAACCTCAACACAAAGCTTACCTTGCCATCAGATTACTCCTCTGTGTTTTAATGTGTCATCCAAACAAACAACAACAACAAAAAAAAAGCAAAAATCATAGAACCTGCTGCAGAACACACGGATACATGTTTACTTGCCATGCTGCTTATATTGGTAGAGAAAAGAGAGGTATTTGCAGTGGAAGAAATCACATTAAAAAATAGAATAATTATCCATCGAGACAACTGGCAAACTACCCAGGATTTCACTGGACAGGGCTGGTAGTCTCACCTTAGCCAAGAATCATTACTGAAGCACTCTTCCATTATAACCACTAACCTTTCTTCCCATATAGCACTTCTGCACTCAGAGAATTTCCTGGGCAGTACCTGGTCACCACAACAGCTCAATGATAAGTGCAAGGATTGTGTCGATTTCCCAGAGGCACAAAGTAGTTCAGCAGTCCCAATTCAGGCCTGAGCAGGAATTAAAAATCAGGAGTTCTAGCCTAGCAGTAGTTGCTTGTAGTGTCCCTGAATCTAAAAGTAAACATTAAGGGGGAGAATAGTTATTTATTGATGCTGTTCTCCACTACTTTCATAAGATGCGCACTTAATTCCCAACCCTGTGCTCTGCAGAGACCACGAGCACTTAAACCAGAATGTCTCATCACTTCAGTAATGACACCTCCAGGGATCTCCTGCGTAGGGCAGATGGGCTACAAAATCTGAGAAAGTGACTGATGCTGTCTTTTGTGGTGCGAACGCTGACTCCCTAAAATAGGAGCACAAGAAGCTGCTGCAACGTGGCGTCATTAAATTCTGAAATATGTGTTTATGAAAGAATATATGAGATTCATTAATCACCTAGACCACTCTGGTTTTGAGAAATCCTTTTTTTTAAAAAAAAGTGAGACACGGGTGCGAGAAATTAAGATGCATAAAATAAAATAAAGTCGTATGCTCCGCATAGAGAAAGTGCAGAGGCAGAGCAAAACCCACAGACACTTCTCTACACGAGCAGTTTGCTAAGGCAGCCATCAGGAGGGATGGGCGCTGTCCCTTTTTTTGGCACGGTGTTGGGAAACGCGGGGCAGCCGAGCCGCCCGGCACTGCCGGCGCCCGCCGCTCCGAGGAGCCGCAAGGCAGCAAAAGCGCCGCGGAACGGGGAAAGCCCGGCTCGCAACTCCCGAAAAGCTTAGCTCCTGTTTGCAAGAGCGTGCTGATCTCGCTAGGGAAAAGTCTGACCTGTCCTGAATGCAGGTAGGAAGTGCTTATGGCGTTTAAAAGCCGGTATTTGAAGCTGCTGGAGAGATGCGAGCATCCTTCAGCGAGGCAGCGGCGCCCACGCCCGGTACTCGGCGCAGCCCCAGCAGCAGCCCTGGATGCAGAAAGCCCCGTGGAGGTGCTTTGTGCTCCGTCCTCTCCCAGCTGGGGCCGAGGAGGCCACAGGGGCCAGCTGGGCCCGCGAACACTTCAAACGGGCTGAGGGGACGGGGGAGCAGGGAGCGGCTCTGCCAGCTCATGCCTGGCACGGCTGTAGGGCCACCTGTGCTCCAGGGGTCTGGAGCGGATCAAAAATAAAAAAAATTTATCTCACCATTGTGGGAATCCAGGGCTTCCCTCTGGCTGTCCTGGCAGGTCTGGGACCCTGGCAGGGGGTCAGGAACCCCCCTGGACAGAGCCCCCAGAGACACTGTCTGTGACCTCTGTCAATGGAGAGGAGTTTTCAATCTTACAGGATGAATTACAAGCTTTGAGTGTTTGATAAGAGTCATAATTAAGTGTGACACGGGTGCAAAGGTAAAATTTTAGGTTTCTAGATTAGGGGTTCAGAGGGGACAAGATGGAGGAATTGGGTGTGTCGTGTCCTTTTTCTCCTTCTTCATGCCCTCCATGTTTCACTGTGGTGTTGGCATTTTTCTGTTGGTTTAGGCTGGGGACACACTGTTCAACGTAGATGATAGATATTGGCACATTATTGTAAATATAGTACACGTAGTTTCTGGTATATAATGTTTGTAACATCCCACTGAGGGCAGAGCCCCACACGCTGCCCTGCAGGACAGAGCTGCGGCAGGGCAGCAGAACATGTTAGAGATAAACAGAATAAACAACCTTGAAACCAGCACAGACGAATTATGGCTTCTTCTTTGGCAGCGGGGCAGAAAGACAGAGACTTTCTACAATCTCGGAATCACCAATACCCACAGATTCCGACACACCATCTCACCACCTGTGACCCTAAAGCAAGGGCTGGAGGCAGCATTGCCTCTCCTCAAGGAAACGATAGGATGGGACCAATCTCTCCAGTGACTCTTGTATCAAAATCCATACGATGGCTGTGGATCTCTTAGAAGCAGCCTTTTGTGTGAGGAAGTTTCGTGCAGTTTCTATCAAAGGCTTTGAAGATTTTCCCAGGACTCTGAGGTTTTAAGCTGTGTGGAGGCTCTGCCACAGCCCTGGTTCTCTCAGGTGAGTCAGGGCTTTGCTCTCAGGGTTTCTGTGGTTGTGCCATGCAGCTCTGCTCGTCAAAGCTGTGTTTGCTGGATCTGCTGAGAGTGAGCTCAGTGTGTGATCTATCCCTGGAACATTTTCTTTTCTGTTTGTGCACAGAACAAGGGTTTGGCACGTAACTACACGCTTCTGCCTGGGAAATCCCTTGCAGATATAGATGTGTGGAAAACAGAGAGAGCAAGCAGGATAGCAGATGTAGCAGGGAAAAACAAAGCTTTGAAGGCAATTTGCCCCAGAAGGATGACTGAAGTGCGATGACTTCCTCATGTTTTTACAGATACTGTGCATAAAGACACAAACTTGGGCATTGGAGTGCAAGCCCCTCTCCCGCAGACACCTGAATGTCTTCAACACCATGTGCTTTCTATTATAAGTAAAGGCAACACCTTGCTTTTGAGGCAGAATTGCAAATAAAATCTCTTCTAGAATCAGACAGCACTTGCAGACAGCTTCAGCCCCCTGCAATCAATATATTATGGATAAGTTGATGCATAGACTCTGAAGAAAATGAAACAAAATGTACTGTGTCAGTTTACATAATCCAAGAGCCAATAGCTTTCATTTTCTGAGCCACCAAAATGAAGATCTAAAATAAGGAGATTTGGAGACTGGAGTTTAATCTCTGCATGGTTTGCATACTTTCTTTTTTCCCAAAAATGTCTCAAAACCTTTTTAGGGGGGGAAGAAACAACTTAAAGTGTCAAAGTGTTTTAGATATAGGCTGAGAAAATGATGTAAGTTGGGAAAAATGCTGTATAAACACCTTTCTTTCTGTGTCATGCTGGCTGTCTGACATATTAGATAAGTCAGAGAAAGGCAAAAGCTTTTGGGATCCATCATCTGAATTTGTCTCAAGAACTCAGTTTTCAACTTTATTTAGGTTCCTGTAGCACCCAGAAAGAACAGGAGGGGAATCCTCCTGGGATTGTGGACAACAAGAGCCAAGCCCACCCTGGAAAATCATGGTCTCACAGTACCCTGCTCTCCTTGCCTCTGTAGCAGTGTGGCTACTGCTTGTACCTGTGCAGCTGTAAAACATTTTGATGAGGAGAGCTCTTCAGAAGCCCTTGTTTAAACAATGCACCATGATTTCCACAGGCAGGTGATGGCTTCCATGAATCCCATCAGCTTCAGGCACTCGTTATTCACCTGAACATGCACACAGGCACTCTTTTGTGTAGGGCTGGATGCATAAAAAATTGATGGCTCTGTTGAAAACTATTGTATTTAAGATGAAAATACTCCTTGTTCATGTTTGTCATCTATTGTTTGAAATAAATTTCTCTCAAGGGTCAGTTTCCTCCCATGGAATGATTTCAGTTACTCTGATAATGATTTATCAGATGTATGTATGCAACAGAGATCACTGGCAGCTACATGAAAAATAATTTTAGAAAAGGTATTTCCTACTAATTGTAACAAATATCATGGCAACTGTCACATGAATAGTTGTTTAAAAAGTATGAGACACAACAATTTCTTTCTTTTCAAGGAAACAAAAACCACAACAAAACAAACCAGATGAGAACTTCCAGAAAAAAAAAAAAAGTAACATGTAGTCTTTTATGTAGACACTCATTCCTTTGCTGGAATATTTACATATATACCTTTACGCTTGCAGATTTTCACATTTACTTTTTGCATTCCTGCACAGCTCTGCCAATTGCCACGCTTTTACAAGACAAAATGAAAAGTGTCTAAGATAAGGATTAAGCAAACACTACAAAATCCCTTGGCTTGAACAGCGATACAACTGATTATTGTTTTAATCTAGTGCTTCTTGGGCAGTATTTACTTACTATTTAATATTTTTTATTTAATATTTAATATTTGGTTTCATTTAACCAGGTAAGGCCTCAAGAGGATGGATGCTGACTAGTCTCTGGGCATCAACCAGGTTATCTTAAAGCCCCTACATTTTCTGCAATGTGCTGTTAGAAATCACTCCCTGTTGAGTGCACACTAAAGAGATGGATGTCACTATTTGGGGACCTTGTGGCAAGGGCAGAGGACCTGCCAGGAAAGCAAAGTCAGAGTCTGCATGGAAGGCCCACTTTTCAATTCCGTGGAACCAAGGTCTGAGGAAGAAGGAAGTGTTTCAGTGTAAATGGAAATATCAAAACCGACAAGAAAAAGTCAAAACAGAGCTCTCCAAAGAAATCAATGTAGCACCAATTATTCAAGAACAGAATCTGCTGCTGGGTGCTGGTCAGGGAGATAATACATGTACTGTCTTTCCTGTTTTCATCTCCCCTGACAGTTTGGCCCTCTAAGTTATTTCTGTACTACTCTGTCTCCTTACTTCAGTCTTCATTCTTGAATTTTTATCACAGTGTCTCCCTAGAGCCTTTTCCTCATCCTGGGCTACTAATCTGTGGGATGATAAACCCAGGAGACAAGGCTTTTTGTGCAGTAAGCTACATTTTGGGTTTTTTTGTTCTTGCTCTGTCTGTTCTGCCATTCTTACTGATCTCTGAAACACACAGGGCAGAGGACAGTAAAGAAGCACAGAGAGAGAGAAGTGTAAGTGAAGTTATTGCCCAATGCAGAAGAAGGCTCAAGTTACAACATCTTCAGATGGAAAAACTATCAGAACTGAGGTTTTAGAAGACGAAATGTCTTCCCTGCTGACAGCACCGTAAGGAATAGCTGCAGGGCAGAATTTTAAAAACAGAGGTTGTCTTGACCTCTCTCCAGCCTTGCATGGTGCTCAGCATGATAGATCAGGGGAAAAAATATTATAGTGGGTCAGACACAAAGACACATCACATTGCAACAGCAGCAGCACCCCTGATTTTTCCATGGCTCTGAATGACAAGAACTAGGATACTGCATTTAATATGACTACAAGAAAGGTTTGGAAGGAGAGAGTTCAGAAAAGAGCTGCAAAATAATTAAGGGACTAGAGGGATTTACCTATGAGGAAGATTAAAGGAACTAAATAAATATGTCTAATTTGGCTAAGTGATAACTAAGGAGAGGCATTCCAACCATCTACAAATATTTGACTGACACAGACACCGGGAAAGGAAAGGAATTATTTAGCAGGAAACAAGCAGTTATATCAGAAAGTAATGGGATGAAATTAAGAAATAGATAATTGAGGAATCTAAGGCAAATCCTCCTGACAATGAGTTCCAATAGTCTGCAGAAAACAAACCAGCATATATGCAAGAGGGAATAGTCTTACATTGGTAAGGAGGGGGACTTAAGCGACTTGCTAGGCCTTTCCAATCTCAAATATTTATGATTCTATAATTAAGTGTTATTAAATTTAATGACATATGCCATTTTTTTTCCAGCAAGTTCTGACTGTTGCCTCAGGTCATAAGTGTGCAATTATTTCCTAACTAAAGGTCTTACATTTTGACTCATGAATCCTTACAAAATTAACTAGGTTGGTATCTTTTTTTTTTTTTTAACTTAAATTGAATTTATATTAATGCATTTTCTCTTATTTCTAACTAGCAGCTATCTCCCCCTGCTCACAACTCATAATTCCCTCTTTATGCAAGGCGAGCCTGCATGCTTAGATCTTCGTGGCTCAGTTCCTGAACTTGCTCAGCCTCAGGTTGAACGCCTGCTGTGTTCAAGGGAGCTGCTGTTCCCAAGCCCAGATGAGCACAGGGGCTCTTCTTCCTCTGAGGATGAGCTGTGTGCAACAAAGGGGAAAAAATGTGACATGGTATTTTCAGCTGAGAGCTGTTTACAGAGCTTTGAAAGCAGATCACGGCCGTATGAAAAGCTTCATGTCACCGCTCACCCCAGTGTCACAGCACCACTCAGCAAATGAGAGCAGGTGTTCCTGTGCTACTGCCCAAGCTCCTGGCCAGGATCACAGCTGCTGGGTAGCAAGTTTCCTCTTTTCTCTTTGGCAAACTCCTTGGTTTTCATGGATATGCTTGCTTGTGCATCCAACATGTACTCCAAAACATCCCCTGAAATGGGTACAAACCTAGGGAGTGATCAGAAGGTTGTGATCTCATGTGAGCAGTCATTTTGGGGGTTCAAGTGGTTTGTTTTGCCCTGTCTCAGACAGCATGTGCTGCCTAAGGTTGTTAAAATATCCGCTTTTGCTGATATTTTATCATTGGCTATGTTACATGGACTCAAGAAAGTTCATACAGTCTAACTCTTTGTGAATTATTATCTAAATATATCCTTTGTCCAGGTAAGAGTGCAGCTCACCTCCCACTGTGAAAGGCAATCTGTGATGCCTATTGCTTTTGTGATGTGTTCTTTTGGTTCCCCCCTGGAGTGCAGCTGCAGACTGGGCACCCTGTGTCATCAATATCTGACACTGACACAGCACCTGTGAGAGCCAATCCTCTGAACAGATCAGAGCTTGTGTGAGCCTGGCTGTTTCACCCCAGAGTGAGTAAATCCTCAGTGAAAGGTGCTGGGTGCTGGCATTACAGTATTCTGAACGCTAATCACCAGGAATCTAGTTCCCAAATCTTTTCACTTTCAAGATAGCACTGCAGCAATCAGGCTGAAGTGGGATAATTAAACAAAGCACTGTCTCCTCTCCCCTCCTCCCCCAGTCACTCTGCAGCCCTGTCTGTCATTTCCCAGCTCGGAATGGCTGAGATGTGGGTGCCTGATAGGAAAGCTCAGTTGCTGTGAGCATTTTACAGGAGGTGTGGCTTTAGAACAGCTTCCTCACTAGGAAAGAGCCACAAGGAGCCCTGGCTGCTCCTGTGCATGGTTTATCACTGAGCTGAGTCCAGACAGAAGTAGGTGCAAGAGATGTAGGCAAAGAAAGGAAAGAAGGAATGAGAATATTTGCTCCTTTTTCCCAAAGCAAGAAGAGGCAAAATCTTGCTCTCTCTTTGAAACCCACAGATTGTGAATCCAGTTTTTGCAGCTGTGATTAATGTCCTGAAGCATCTAAATACTTGGGGTATAAGAAGAGGATTACTGCCTATCAGAACTTGTCTATCTTTTGAATATTTTGCCCAAAGCAGCAAAACATTGAGTAATAACTTGGTACTGACAGCTCTTCATTAAAGTACAGCAGCTTCAGCCATTGCCTTCGTCCATAGTTCTCTCTGCCTCCACAGTTTACTAAAACAATTTGAAATGTTGCAGTTTTATTTTTTTCTCTTAAACCAATGAGAGGAATTGTTCTTTCACATCCGACCAAATAGAAGTATCCTTCTCCAGATTTGGACTTTTCAGGAAAATACATTATATACAGCATATATATATATATATATATATATATATATATATATATATATATCCCATTGGAGAAAGTCTTTTAGACTATGTGATACAGTGAATGCTAGTTAAACCCATGTATTGCTGGATAAGTGGAAAAAAAATCTTCTGTTTTTAGATGAAAAATCCAAAGCCAAGACTTGTGGCTTCTGCATACACATTCTTCAGGGCTTTGTATGGAATTTTAGTTTTTTAGAATTTTAGAATTTTGTATGTGCATTTTTTACATTCAATAGCCGGGTTTTTTTTACTTCCCTCATAGTTTTCACTATTACAAAATGCTTTCCAGTAGACAGTCTACATTTTCACCCTTATTTTAGGCCATTTTTGCTTCTTGCACATGTCCAGCCCCTGGGAAAACAGAACTCCCAAGTCACATATTTTTGCATCATTCTGCTTATCACTCACAGAAAATAAAGAGGAAAAAACCACTCACCATCTTCCTTATATTTTCTCCAGGCTATTTCTTAAATGTTTTCATCAGTCAGATTTTTCTGAACTTCCCTGTGGTGGCTATTGTTGCTTGTCTCTTCAGTTTGTTGATTATTTCCATAGCTCTCAGCATAGACAGTGTTCAGAAAAAACAAAACAAAACAACAACAACAACAACAACAAAAAAAAAACAAACCAAAACCCAACCCAAACCCCATATATAAAACAGAGAACATTTTTTTCTCAGGCTTCTGAACTGTAGGTCAGGCACTCTGCATAGTGACTTCACAGAGGCAGAGGAAGCTCATATATTTGCTTTCGCTCAGAGTTTATGCTGAACAGGAAACAAAAGACACACTTCTGAGAATGCACAAAAGGAAATAGCAGCTCTACTTATGCACAGAAAACAAATTACCTTTGGGTAGAATAAGAATATTACAGTCCAGAATTGATGTGGTTTTCATGTTAGCTTAAAGAATGATGTGAAATCTTTCCTTGCTGCACTTTTTAATGAAGATGAGATGTAACTGCACCTCTGAGGCACTCAGATTCAGGACATTCGCACATTCCGTGACTCCTGGCTCACTTCTCTGAGGGTAATTTCACTGTGACAGCTGTGAGATACCATCTATAGATTGTTCTGCAAAATGTAACTTTCCATTAGGAGCCAGGGGGACTATTCTCTAGCAATTAGAACTCTCTGATAAACATTTATTTTTGTCTTTTTCACCTGGACACAACTCTGCTGTGGTGCTTAGAACACCTGCCAGATGAGATCTAGTTGCATTTCTTGTAGCTACTGGAAATCCACATAGTGGCAGTGGCTAGCAGTGGTATCAGTGCTCAGACAAGCACTACCAGTGTCCTGTTTATATAGCCCATCTCAGAGGGAAGATCTTGTCTCCTGACTGCTCAGGCCTGGCTGGGAAGGGGCTGGCCAAGGACAAGGGGATGCCTTTGCTGGGAGTTTTGTATGACTTCTTTGTTTATCTCCAGGCTTACCATGACAGCAATATTTTTTTCAATTTTAACTTTTGTGGAGTTTCAAGCTTCATAATTTCTATTCTTTCCTCTGCTGTTGCCTTTTTGCAGAGCAGCTAATTTTCATTCCAAGGATGATGTACAGAGCAGCCCACTAGTTAACACAAGAGGCAGCCATCTGACAAAGGACTGGGAAAGGACTTGGGCTTTCTGTTCTAATAATCACAAGTGCCAGTAACAGGACAGGACGAGAGGCTCAAACAAAAATAAATTAATTAGCAAGGACATTATTTATGCACTGGGAATTCCTAGTGTATGTGGTGTCTGCTCTAATAACGTGTGGACAAATCACCTCCCTGTGCTGTAACACCTTAGGGAGAGGGCCAGCAGAGGAAAGCAAATGTAAGATCCCATCTAAAGGGAAAAGGATAAGAAGCAGCTGGAAAATCTGTGGGGAAATGCCCTGCATATGCATGAAGAGCAGAGAGATCCATATGGACACCTGCCCCTCACCACAGCTCCTCTTGCTCCTGGCTAGACATGTTCCGGAGTGATCTGCACTTAATACCAACAGGATTGTGGCCCATGGGGATCTGAGCATTCCAAACTTGCCATTCCCAGTGTGGTGAAACAGAGGTGAGCACAGAGCTTTTAGGAGAAAAGAAAAAAGGAAATAAATTTAAAAAAAAATAAAGAAGAAGAAAACTTTTCACAACATTTTTGAAAAAACAAATGGAACCATATAATTTGTCTTACATTGCAATTACTTCTCTGTTTGAGATGTTCACTATATTCTGCCATTGTAATTTCACATACTGGATAATTAGTACCCTCTGCACAGAAACAACAGGAATGGCTGGGCAGCAGGAGAGCTCTTTCTGGATGCTGCTAAAATAAAGTATTGTCTCATTTCTTCTCAGCGCATGACTCAAATCCAGGTGTGCAGAGGAGTAAAACTGAAAGGGCAGAATATTAAGTTAAAAACCAAAGAAAGATAGTTTGTGGAACAGTCCAGCAGAGCAAAGAAAAGCCATACTGTATAAAATTGATATGAATGTGAACATTGGTTCAAGAACTGATATGAACATGAGCATGAAATTGGTGTTTTGAAACAATCCCCTGCAGATGACCCTTAGAATACAGCCATTGACTCCTTATGGAGGTAAAAGTCTGTCTCTTTTTCTTTCTAAGGGATCAGACACAGAAATCGACATGACAAATCTGTGTAGAGTATTGCCTGAAATACCTATTTTTAAACACTGTCTAATGACTCAGTGAAAGAATATCACACCTGTATCCAAATTCCATTTCAGTTCTATGGAAGCAGAGTATGATGTGCTAGAAAACAAATATTCAATTTTCCCTTCTAAAATAAATCAATTGATTGAGAATTATATCACAAGATTTTGAAACTCTGAAGTGAATACGTTGATATTAAGTTAGTGGTGACTTCTTTAAAGCATTTGTTAAACTGTCTTTTGTATCAGGCTTTAAATATCTTACAAAACTCTGGAATAAAAGCTGTTACACATACTCTTTGAAATCATTGTAAGTTTCAGTTTTAAATAGGATAAGGAATTTAGATTTATATGGTGTGCCATTGCTTCCCTGTGTTACAGAATCTGTATAGCTGTATCCTGTGTGAACATGGGAAATATTGCCAACAGAGGGTGAAAATGCTTCAACAGGACATGAGCTTACTATGACAACAGAAAAAAGGATGCCAAGATATGCTTAGGGGGAAAAAAAAAAGTTTCCATAACTTCTGAGTGATAAAATTTGCATTTACAGATCTGAGTGGATGCTTCAGTTCTCTGACAAAGGTGCCTTTCACTGAGGTTGTTACCATGTTACTCAGTATTTTATACTGAGCCAAATGTCTTTCCTCATGGAATGTCCTGTCTGCTAAAACAAATGGCAAGGAAAATCAAAACCAGGCTATTCCTAAACAACATTATTGTTAGGTAAAAAACTACTTTTACAGACAGTTTTCCAAAAGTAATATACAACTCCAGGCACAGGGAGGCAACAGCCTAGAATAGTAATTACAGCTGATCTCAGCCAAATTTGAGAAATAGTTTCTTGCACAAAGCCAAGTGGAAATAAAAATTCCTCAAATCATTAAAGCCAAAAAAGGATATCATTCAGTCTCCTATGTGGTATAATCCAAAAAGCAATATTTAAATGCAATGTTATTATCCTATTTCCAGGATAGAATAATTTGTAGAGTTCATTAGAACATGATGAATTTCACTATATTGAAAATTGTTTTGAATTTAAACTGCAAACTAATTCTCAATACAAAGATAAAACCTAAAGGGGAAAAATAAATCTTACAGAATCCTCCTAGAATTATTACTGGATTCTCCAAGTTCAAATTACAATAATACCATCATCAAGAGAGTCCTCAATTAACCTCATCTGACATTTCAAGAAGAATATTTTAAGGGTCGTGAAGCATGCAAATAGAAACTTCAATTAAAGACAGACTTCATACATTGGACAGCCTGTGAGAATAATGTGAAACATTATGTAACCAACCTTGTGCTTTGATAAACACCCACAGATGATGCAGAGGAGACTGAAAAAATTAAGGATCAGCATCCTAAATCCTTTCTCAGGTAGAGGCTAGAAAGATTAGGAACTTGTTTACACAGGGGAGCAGGGACCCCCTTCATATTCATTCCATTTTGGTTTCTGCGCGTTCGGACGACCTGCATTCACACAGCACAAATCTCAGCATGCATCAACTGCTGAGAGGAAATATATTCTGTGCTTCTTTTAGAACCGTGGTAGATTCAGAGTGCATTAAGTGAAAGCATGCTAATATTCCTTGGGTGCAGCTGGGCCACAAGCAGCTCCTGCCTGTGTCTCTCCTCCAGGAGCTGCTCCCTCTGGAATGCTGGAAAACGGCTGGGACGAGCCCTTGGCTGGGGCAAACACAACCCAGGGGTCACCTTGGGGACACCTCCTGTTAATATGACTGCTTTGGCACAAGGGCATCACCCACCTGCAGTGGGACAGCCAACCCCGAGAGGAAAAGGTGAAGGTTCAGGCTGCTGGGTGAGGAAACGTGGCTGCAAGGCTCTCTCTTCAGGTGGCTGATTTGCTGAGGGGTCAGTGTAGGGTTTTTCTGCTCTTCTGCACTCAAGTGAGAGCCCAGCATGAATCTTTTTACACCACTGGTTTAAAACCTGTCATCACTTTGCATAGGCAGCTTGTTAGTACCAAGAAACTGAGCTGGGCTTGTGGCTGTTTTTTTCCCTTTACTTTTCTTACTTTCAACTTTCCTTATGCTTCTATTAGTTGTAGCAAATATTAGATATTTTGACACACCTCCAGGACCTGTTTTTCAGTGTATCTGCTGGAGACTTGTAGCTGTTTGAAGCTTTAACCTTTCCTCAGTGACTGTGGCAGAGAAAACACTACTTAGACTTGCTGCTTGTTGTGTGCATTTAAATTTTCCTGCTCCCACTCTGACTATCAAATGAGTGCTTGTATGGATTTGCACCAGCTCTATTTTGTTTCATGCATGATGATAACCTTTTCCCCTAAATATTCAAAAGGGTAAGTATTTTCCCTGATCAAACCCAGAAATACTGGTTAAAAAAGATTGTGAGAATGTAGTACTCACTGTGTCTCAGCTATCCATCCCTCAACTGGTCTGTTCCCCCCTTCTGCCATCTGACATATATTTTCTCCTTCCACTCGTTTGGCTTCTCCCAGCAGGAAACCTTCTCTTACCAGAGCAGTTTTAAAATGTGACTGCTGGCTCCTGCTTTTTCATGCAATTAAAAAAAAAAAAAAAAAGATAAACACTGTCTCCCTACCCCCCAAAAACTATTAATAGAAGTGTACTTACTGTGCACAGTTCAAACTAAGAATAGTGTTAAATACTACATCCTAATTAGCAGAGTACAGCAATGGTCTCATTTTAATCAATGGGTTTTGAAGTTCCAGCTTTCATGGGATGCAATGAAATACATTTCAGAATGCAGCACCATAGAGCTCTATGGCATATTTCATAGGCATTTTTCTTCCCCAATTACAAAGGGCAGAATTGCTGTAGCAGAAACGTATTTTTAAGGCTTTTTCCCAGGATAAAACTTAGCAGTGCAGCTGCGAAAATTTTCTCTGCATAAGAGATGCACAGACTTAGGGAACAGGGAGGCTCTGGGCATCTTTAACCCCTGGTGTGCTGACAGTTATTTCAAAGCACAGCTGCTGCCTCTGTGTCCTTTGTGCCTGTCCTTGAGAAGTGTGACACGAACTGTGTTGGACAGTAAATCCAAGGTGAGAAGGAGAAGAGCTCATGGCAACAGGAGGAGTAAAGGCTGCACCTTTTTTCTCTTTTCTTTGTGAATTGATAATTTTGAAATGTAGCACTGTTATGGCCCCCTGTGATCCTTTCTTACCTTCAGTGGTTTCCTTTGGAAAGGAGGCTCATACAAGGAAATTTTCTTTCCACCTTCATGTCTGTTTTTCCTCCTTCTCTTTCCACAGTCTTCAAACTGCTACTATGCAAGTAGCATTGCAGGCAAATTTGACAAAGAACATGAGGTTTCAAAAATGCAGGAACTTTGGGAAAATGCAGTGCTGGTGGAAGACTGAAACATGCTGAAGGACAGGGTGGCTCAGCCTGTCCTTCAGCACAGATCAGGGTGGCTCAGCCCACAGCCTTTGTGCACTGATCTTTGGGAAACCCAGCCTCATTTCTACCCATGGATATGGAACAACACGGTGGTTGCAACCTGTGTAATTTTGCACAGTTTCTTGAAGCAGTTATAGCTTCTAAATAGTTATATCTTCCTAATTGTGTTTTGAAAAAATATTTTGTTTAGTCATCTGAGATATGTTTTTTATGAGGCTCATAATGGTAGCTACATAAAAGGAAAAGTACATTTCTCATACTTTGAATTTTTTCATGGTCCAATAGGCTAATATTAAAACAAAATGGGATAACAGTGGGAACACATCCACATCATACACAATGAAAGCAGTATTCCCCTACTTTAAAGGTCTTTTTTCAATACTTCTGCACATTCACAAAACAGCCTGTGAACTCCTTATGAAATAATGTACTAAAGTTTGATCAAATGCACAAGAAAATGCTACACACAAAAAGAAAATAAAAAGGAAGGGAAATCATATAGCTCTGAATTTTTTAACATCCTCCATATAGACTACAAGAGTCTTCTCTGATTAAGTGATTAAGTGTCCAGGGAAAATGTGATTTTGAGGAAGGAGTTTTTCTTTACTTCGCTGCTTTCTTAACTGTTCACTGTTCACTTAGCTTTTTATTTGAAATAGCTTGCAAAACTACTAAATTGTCAAACAAGCAGATCTCGGAATGGATATGTGTGAATTTTGTCCCAGAATTGCAGTTGCAGAGAGGAGGATTCACAGCACACCAAAGAAAGAACAAAAAATCACAATGCTTATCGCCTACGCACAAAAAAATAGATCAGAGTGGGTGGGGAGGTGGAAGCAAGTGCACTAAGACATAGATAGTGAAGAACTGAATATGCAACTGCTGAAGGGGTCACAGTCCTGTACAAACCAAGCAGGTCACGTAGGCAGGCCTGAGAGAAGCTATTTCTGCTGATATTCAAAGCCAGCTGTCCCCTTTTGAACATTATTCCCTTGCTCTTCCTTATACCCATTTGCACAGTGACTCTTCTCCCTTATTTTGTACTTGTAACTGTTTATTGTTTGATATCATCTGCTACTCACTAGAAATAATAATAAATTGAATGCATTTAAAAAAACCTCCGGACTCTAAAATTCGCCAATTTAAATTAGGTTAAGAAGAAATGCTCAAGATAAAGCAAATCAGATGAAAACCAAGATGAAATCTCTGCCCAAGAGATTGCCTCTACACACCAGAAACAAGAGCCAACTCGCTTCCCCAAATGAGGAATCAGCTCTTACGCAGTGGCCAATATGACAGAACTTTTATTTTTTCTGTCTAGTTCTCTAGGAAGATCCTCACTGCATCCCACCAGGCACAGATGTAATCAGACAAGTTTTAATCTTTTCTTGTAAGCCAGTCCCCTCAGCAATCACGAGCATTGCATTTCTTTGATTTCCTTTCCAACTGCTCTGCAGCATCAAGGTGAGGGGCTGTCCAGCCCCATACTCTGTGCTGTAAGGGCCAGTTCCCTTCTGCATCAGAGGGACCCAAGGGCATTTAGTAGGAAACACTGAACCTCTTGCAGAATCAACCAAGATTTTCCATGTCACCATTCTTGAACAGAACAGAATTATTGTTCCTTCCTGAGTAGGAATATGATGGTTCTTCATAGGCAGACTGAAAAAAAATAAAAATAAAATAAAATGCAAAAATGGCTCTTTTGCTGTGATGCTGCATTGCAGATTCACATCTAATTTCTGCCAATGTTATCCACTCAGTCTTTTTCAACACTCCTGTTTTCCAAATTTTTCCTCCCACTGAATCTGTATGTTTGATTAATGTTTTCCCAGATGTCTGAACCTGGGGAAAAAAGGCACTTTTGGTCTCATTTTGTTAAGTGTTAGGAATCACTTTGATGATCCATAATTTTACTGTGCTTTTCACAAGGCAGATGAGTGGCAATAGTTCCCTAAGCAAGCTGCATTCAGTCATTATAAACTCCAGAGTTCCCCTTTCTTTTTCCCTCCTTTTTGTGTTTATTTTTTATCAGTAATGAACCTTCACAGTTTATCATATTCTCTTTGGCTTATTGAACACATTTGACACAGGAGTTATATTTTTGAACCAAAGACATTTTATCATCTCTTTTAATTTTTATCCCTTTGAAGAATGTCAGATTAGGATGCAGTTTGAGGAACACAATTCTGCATTTTGGCTATTTTGTCTCAATCATTTAGCACATTAACTCTCCCGATTTCTAATTTAACAGGAAAATTTTTTCATTCAAAGGATGGAGAGTCTTTAACCATTAAGAAGAAGAACTATTAACACGAAAGATTGTAAATAATTCCCACTTAAAGAAGGTGTACTCTGTTATCTTAGCATCCATAATTTGCAATAGTTTCACAGCTAATCTTTATTTCAGCCCTCTCTCCTGGAAAGGTAGAAATCACCTCTGAATTGTCCCTCTTATTTCTGAAAAGCTCAGCTATCACAAGAACAGAGAGATGACTGATGCTATTGAATCTGACAACGGGAGGATTTCATGCAACAATCTAAAAAGAAACTACCCCTTTGTGGCTGTACAGAAAACACAACTATTTAGATTCACAGAGTAGCTGAGGCTGGAAGGCATCGCTGGAAATTGTCAAGTCCAACCCTGTGCTCAAAGCAGAGTCACCTACAGACGCATTGCTTGGGGTCATGCCCAGCTGGGGTTTGAATATTTCCAATGACAGAGACTGAACAGCCTCTCTGGGCAGCCTGTGACAGTGTTCAAGCACTCTCACAGAGGGAAAAAAAACCCAGAAGTGATTTTCCTTTTCTTTTGTTTAAAAAGAATATTTTATATTTCAATTTGTGTCCATTTACTACTTTTGAAAGTCATATCTCATTACACTCACAAAACAGATTTCTTGCCAAGGTATATTCTGCAGGAAAAATAAATCAGCTACAAAAAGTGCACCTGTTTTTCCTCAGAAGGTGACAAAGTGCACTTGTCACACCAACCTAGATATTTGTACTACTGGACATATCAAAATTCTTATGAAACGAAAACTGTGTCTTATTCACTTTAATGTATATGATAAATACACCAGCCATACCCAGAAATAAAGGAATTATTTGTCAGTGAAGGTTGGAATAAAAGCCATAGAATTTATATAGTTTATATCATAGTGGATATTAAGAGAGAAATTATAGTATTGTTCTTGTGCCTTCTTCTAAAACTTTAGGAGAATTTACTTGTTTGTTTCCTACTCTTAGATTCCTTTTTGCTGAGAGGTGCAGATGCATATGTGTATAGTGTATGCACATTAGGTCTCTGGAAAAAACATATGTGAAACTTAGAAGAATTTTGTGATTGAGTCTCAAAATTAAACATGGGAGGAGTGAGCATTGTGTCAGCTACTCAAATAATTGCAAAACTAAAACCTGGTGAACTTCCATGCTTTCACACCCATTGTTTCTGGTCCCCTCCTCAGAAAGTCCTTAGGGCTTAGCTGACCATTTACCTGTTATTCAAGGGGTTCTTCCTTTAACTTGTATTCAAAGGGGTTCTCCTTCCTTTAATGAAGATGAAACACAAAATACTGACCATCCATCTAATGAAGCGAATTGTACCTGAATTTTTATCAAGGGTCATTCTGCTTAACTTCAGCAGGTGGATTGCACTGGTCAGATCTTTTGCAATAAAGGCCAAGAGATCCTGCTTGGTCAGAAGGTAAAGTTGATTTTTATGTTTAAGGTGCACAAGCTAACAACTCACTGGCCTCCCTGGGACTGAATACTGATGATATTTTCTTCCATTGTCTACAAACCTTTCCTTACCATGCTTGTAAAGCTGTGTCCCACCTGGGGAGCACTGCAGCCTTCCCAGCCTTTGGGGCTGACTACTCCAAGCTCCTCATTTGGGTGATCCAACAGCCCCATCCTCTACTCACAGTGATGCTTTGTAGGAAAGGAGCCAAGGAGTACTGGCTGGGTTTCCCATCTGGATGACCAGGCAGGAGCTGGATTTGAAATATGCTTACATGTACACCTTCCCCTCAGCCCAGACACAGCACATAGCTGGAAATGAGTAATTGGTGTAATGGGTAATTTCATTTTGGCAACTAAAGTTGGTGCTCTGACAGGGACCAAAGTAGCACCTTCGCTTTGGAGGTCAGTCAGGTGCAGGATGAAATTCGTGCTCCAAAAAGGAGAGGCAAGCCCACAAAAATGCAAGAGGCTGGCTAATAGATGCTACCTTTTGCCAGAGAGACACTTGAATGTAAAGACCTCCTGATGTAAAATGTGATTCTTCATGATATTTCATGAAGAAATAGCCCTCAGTGGTGCTCTGAACCTTTTGGACAAAAGAAACCTTGGGAGGACATGTAGAAACAGGAAGTGTTAACAGTTTTTGCTGCTTTTCTTTTTTTTTTTTTTTTCCTGTGGAGTTTGTTTTGTTTTGATTTTTTGGCTGTTTTTTTCAGTGGATTTGACAGTGGGTGGAAAATGGTGACTGAGACAATGTCACAATGTTGAAACTCATCTGTCTGGAAGGGTGTAACGCCATGTGCTGCAGGAGAAGGAGATGGCATGGGGGAGGGAAGAGGAGAGAATGAGGTGCCATTTCTTGGATTAGAGCTTTTATAAGCTTCCAGAAGAGAGGAAATTCAGATGTTTAGCTGGCAGCAGTTGGTGATGAGGGAAGAGCCCTGGCTCAGTTCCTTGTCGGGCCCAGGGAGCAGTTTCCCTCCATCTGTTAGGAGCTTCTGATTAGATGAGGTAGGTTAAATCTTTTTTCCCTCTGCTCTCCCTTCCCAGTGGTTGTGAAATCACTTATTTGTGTTGCTGGGAGCAAAGAGAAGTGAAATGAAACCACAAAGCCAGTGCAGGGCTTTTTAAACTCTTTGCAGGTTGCAGAGGCTGGAAAGAGATGATTAGAGTGATTGAACATTGATGGAAGTTATAAGATTGGTGAAAGGGCACAGAAGGGAGCAAGGAATGATGTGTTTGCTTAATGGGATAGCCATCTTAAGTTTCTCTGTCAGGCTGCCTTGTTTGCAATCTGTTTAATATTTCCTCTTATCTTCGGAAAATAGTGGCTTATTGTACATTTTCTGAAACTGTTTTCAGAAAGGCCAATTTTATATCTCCAAATGTGTGTGAATTGATGCAGAGAAAGAGGAGTTACTACACACATTCCATGGACCAGTGTGGCTTGTCTCAAAGCCATGCTGAAGTAAAATCAACTGCATCATGTTACAGTGATGTTTTCCACCTACAGGCACTTCTGAGCTGACTGCCACAGTGATTAAACTGAGATTGTACAGGATTGGAAATAGAGGCCAGTACAAGCTCTTTGGGCAGCAATGCTCTGACATCAAGTTCTGGCAGGTTTAAGAGCAGTAAAGCAGACACATGATTACAAAAATTTAAAAAAAACAAACCAAAACAAACAAAAAAAGACATTGTCAAAAGCCTCCAGCAAATCCCAAATACATACAGGCACACAGATCAAATCAAAAAGACAAAAAAATAAATAAGAATAATATCATTTCTGAAGGAAAGGAGGAACCTTTCTTTATTACTCTTCTAGCCTCTTCTCTCTTTTCACCTTCTGTGACTATTCTTGTATTCCTTACCTCTCCTGCTATGATATTGATCCATGTCCTGTTAGGGCATTAAATCCCATAATAGACAATACAACAGGCTGCTCTATTTGTGAGGCAGCCCCTTGTTAATTCTCCAACCATTGTCTGGCCTGGCACAAAACAGTAAAAAGAAAGGACAGCCACAAGCATCCCACAGCCCAGGGCAGCATCCTTGCACCAGGGGCTGCCTCACTGCCCCTTCTGCTTTGCCAGCCCAGCAGCCTGCATTGCTGACTCTGCCTGCTTCATCCAGGTGTCACCTCAGGGACAGAAGTGGCAGCAGCCTCTCTTCTGTGAGAGGGAAAATTAATTTTGTGATGTGGCTTCTACATCACTAAAACAGCTTTCCTGCTGGGGGCTGACCAGAAATTAGCCTGAGATTATGCAAGACCCAGTTAAAAAGTTGGTTGCTTTTTTCAATTCAAATTTGTTATTAGGTTATTACAGTCACAAGTTTTCTTAAATCAAAATAAAAATGCACTTTTTTTTTTTTTTTCCTTTGGTCTCAATCAGTGGAAAGAGGCATCTATGAAAAGCCAAACGTTTCTTTCTTACTATCACAGAATCCAAGAAAGTTTTGAGTTAGAGAGGCCCTTAGGGAGCATTCAGTTCTCACCTCCCTGTCCACTTTCCACTATCCCAGGTTGCTCAGAGCTCCATCTAACCTGGCCTTGGACACTTCCAGGCATGGAGCAGCCACAACTTCTTTGGTCAATCTGTTTCAGTGCCTCACCACCCTCACAGTAAAAAATTCTTTATAATCTCTTATCTAAATCTACTTATTTCAATTTAAACCTGCTACCTCTTTTCCTATCAGCAGATTTCCTGATAAACCATCCTGCCCCATATTTCCTGTAGGCCCCTGTTAAGCAGTGGAAGGCCACCACAAGGCCTCATAAGGTTTTTAAAGTTAAATACTCCTCTACCCACAGGACTGGAAAAACAAGATGGCCAAGAAAGCTCCCATGAAGCATTTTTCTAACATGCTCATTTATAACCCAAACTAGCTGATTTACATCTCAATTTACATATATCCCACAGTGCTTCATTCCATTGATTAGACATCAGTGCATTTACATTTCCATCACTTCCACATAACAGCAGTGGTAGGTCACAGTGACCTAACACATATCTTGTCAAAGCCTTTTGTGTCAAAACAGCACAACCTCAGAAATGCACTATCAAAACATCCCCATCATCCAATGTCAAAACAGCTTCATCACAGAGCCTGAGCACATTCACATCCAACAAATTAACATATCAAGGCTTTATGGCTTTAATATCTAAGTAAAAAACAAAAATCTAATGTCTTCCCTTTGAAAAGAAAATTGTTCTTACTCCCATTTCCCACTGGTAATTAACAAAGTTCCTGTCTACTGGGGTGCGTCTGGAGTGACTTTTTAATTTTTTTTTTCCCTGACAGCGTCACTAAAGTGACTGACATTTTCATTTTGTCAAACTTGCAAGAAATGGCGGGAAGAGGTTTCTGGGAACTTGGCCTCAGCGATTTTCAAGGCAGTAACATTCCTGCCTAGGTACAAGACTGTTCAACTAAATGAACATCACAACAGAAAAATTTTGCAAACAAAGCCAATGCACAGTTCTGGACCATCTCCTGTGGCACTTAAGTCATGTCACTGTTCAATTTTCAGGCCAGACCTATGTTAGTGCTTGGTTTCACTGCAAGTGACTAAACTGGGAAGGGAGAAGCATAGTCTATTTTTTTTTTTTTTTGTAATTTAAAGGAGATCCAATAAACTGCAAAGATTAAATCTAACTGTTTAAAAATCACAGTCTCAGTGCTTCCCTTGCCCTCCTGCCTATCTGCATACGAGGCAGTAAAAGTATGCATAACCACACAGTTTCACACCAGCGCAACTGAATCCATGTGAATCCCATAATTTGAATTTTAAAGCCTCTCAGTCTCTCCTTTGTTTATATGGGAGGTTTTTAGGAACTCATCCCATCACTGGATAGCATGGCTAAATGTAGACATAAGTAGCATCCAAATATATGGGCAGTCAGGACAGCAATGTTTGGTGTATTCTTGAATTAGGACATGCATAGACAATCCACTGAAAATGCAATATTACACTCAGCTAATCTGGTGTGTCAGCACTGAAAATATTCGTGTTCGAGCAGCACTCCCAATTTCAGGCAATGACTTTCTTAATCGGTAAAACATTCAAATACAGAATAAATAAATATAAATCAGCTGGTTACATCCTTTCCATTCTTTTTTCTTCAGGACATTAGCTAACAACCAAAGCAATTAAATTTACAAGCAAGAGGGAGGTCAGAGGCACTCAGCTTTTGACTGACTGACCTTGTAGTGGAGACACCATGTCACAGCCATTAGCACTGGGGCAGGATCTGTTGCATTTTGCTCTGTTTCCACGAGTCATCTCTGTGGCAGCACAGGGTGAGACTGTGAATTCAGATTGATTATATCAAGACAGAACAAATCAGAAGCAGCAGTTGCAAATTTGTAGAAACAGACCTGACTGGTGTATTACTATAATCCCCAAGAAAAGCAACTGGGGGCACGACCACATTCCTTGATCTTGTATGAACACCTTTTATGTAATTTTTCAGATCTGGTTAATTCCAAAAGTCATTATTTTGAAATATGTGATACATATTTTTTTTTTCACTATAGATGTACAGCAGTTCCCTTTTAAGGACAGTAAGCTCTGTCCTTAAAAGTAATGTATATAGGAGATATTCCCTCTATTTTAAATGAGAAGACTTCAGAATTCATGAACTTCTTGAGTGTGACAGATGTGATGAGACAAAAAACAATTCACTCTGCTATAATTGTGGCCTTTAGTTTATGCTTTGATGGATTGCCACATTTATTAATACTTTACTTTCATTTTCTAAAAAGTAAAATAATGACTTGCGGTCTGTACTCTGAGGACTAATCTCAGGATTTGTATGACCAGTATCACAGCAGTAAAACCTCTTAATGTTAATGCTTCTTATTTTCATCTGCTTGTCCAAGTTCTTCACTGAAAAGAAGATGTGCAAAACCAATTTAAAGTCAAGGAGGGGAAGTTCTTCAGATCTCTCTGGCAGAAGCTTCTGCTGCCTGAGTGTTGGAAAGGGAACAGGAGCTGTTTTCATAGGTTGACATGACCTGAGAGAGTCAGATGAAGTGACACACATGTGTGTAAAAATCTATGTTGAGGGAGAAGGGCACTGTGGGGTGCTGCAATTACAGAAGGGAATAGAAAAAGAAAGAAGTGAAGTGGCTGGGAGGAATCAGAAGAGAGACATATGTATGAAAGAATAAAAACACCTCATGAAATAAAAAGCAGGGCAAATTTGTTCATGTAGAGCTTTGATTCCACTGGATTTTTGCTATCCAAAGAAAGATGGCTGAGAGACCTGAGCAAGCTTGGCAGGAGGAATGAGAGGAGGCCACAGGGCTGCATTCCCAAGCCTTCCAAAGAAGGAGGCTGCAATGGCTGCTAATGGTGAAATGGTGAAAAGCTGCTGATATCATGGAGGATCCCAGAGAAATACTGAGAGAAAACTGGACAAAACCCCCTCTAACTGGACAAAACCTCCATTAATAATAGATCTGAGTAAGAAAGAATATCAGGGATGGCAGAGAAAGAAACATATTTAAAATGTACTTGATCACCTAAATTCTCTGCAAATATAGACCAGGAGCACCAGTACCTCTCTGTGGCTGAATCACTTGGACCCAGGGTTTCAGAACTGTGGGAGTCACTCTGCCATTGCTCTGAGGCTGCTGCAGAAACATCAGCTACTCACTGTTATGTGCCAGAGTGCAGAATGAGTCATTGACATAATAAATCCTCTTGGCAGCAAGGAACCTGGTAAAATGAAGAGATATTTTCAGCATTCTTGCAATTCGTGGCACAAATTACTTCTACCAGAATTCATTCCAGGCAGCTGAAGGGCTCTATACACAGGGCACCTGCATGTTGCCCAGAGTGAGCATCAATGCTGCCACTAAACACTTTGGGATTCACTCTCCAACCATAGGGCAACTGCCTCTGTGACATAATCACCATGAGAAGAAAGTGGGAAGTGACCCTCAGAATAAATGAACTTTCTAGATCCACTTTAGATATGTTGGTGCAAGCTACAATGGTTCCTTGATTTGATCATTAAACTGGAAACATAGCAGAAAAACTGGGTGTCACCTCTCTGACCATGCCACAGGAATTATTCCAGTGGAGCACAACACTGAGTAGAATTCCAGATGGATGGCCTAATGGTAGTGAAACACAGTCCTCTTTTTTAAAGGTGTGCAATGAGCTGATTGCTCTGGCCACCAGCTGGAAGCAGCAGTGACATGATATCTCCACATGGCTGAGCTGTGCTTGTGCGTGCCACTCTTGGAGAGCAAACCACAGAACCACACTTCACAGAGCCAGAAAGCCCCAAAATACTGGCAACAACAGTGGGGAACAGAGGTAAACTCTTTGGACTGGTAAAAAATAGGAAAAAACCCACAAAAACTTATATCCTGAACATATTCCAATGACATTCCACCATTATAGCTGTTGCAGGCAATTTCTCCTCTGGTTTGATATTTTAGCTCAGCCTGCTTAAGTCTTCAGAGGCTGCACTGACAAGCAAAAAGTTTAATTACCATGTTTAGTAGTCTCCTTTTAGCATGTTCTGCAGGCTCTGTCATCATTTCACTGTGACAAGAAGTTGGGTGGTTTTTTCCATGTAGTAAGTTCTTCGCTATTCTTGTTAAAGAAATACTGTACCAGAGATTCCTTTGATGGTTTGGTTATGTTTAACTTGCCCTTTAATGCTGTTTTCCTTTGAAACTTCTTCCTCTTTGTTTACTTTCATATGTCTGGTGGAGAAATGGATTTGCCTTTTTTTGTTTGTATATTGTCACACATAAGAGAAGAATAGATAAATCAAATGCTTTGTCCCTTGGGCTTTACTTGTCTCGTCTTTACGCTGTATCAAAAATTTCAATAAGAAAAGTTAAGTAATAATTTTATAAAGACATGAAAGTGCAATGTGGGACAGTGACGCATTGTATATAAAACAATCTTTTGGAAAAAGAGATGAATTCTCATTTTTGATAATTTCTTCCTTTATTTCTTTTTTCAACTTGAAGTTTAAATAATTTTTATTTAAAGAATCATAATGAGGAATCATAGTGAAACAAAATCTCTTGAACCACAGTAAAGATGTATAAAACCCATAAGGAATGTAAGAGAGCCAGCTGTATCTAACATGTCCTCATTTTGAATCGGATTTCAGTTATTTCTTCTTATTGTTACAAAAGATATAGCTTTTAAACATTGGTGCTTTCAGTGGCAATAGACAAAAATCGTCATAAGACAGATATCTTACTACCAAAAAAAGGAGGAAAAGGTCACCTAATTGTATCTTATTGCAGATTGCACATCAGTGGAGCTCAGAACTGCATTATGCAAAGTATTGTTAATGAAGAAAGGTATAATAAAGGGAAGGAAGCAAAACAATCCTAAACTTGTAAAGATATGAAGTGAGTGAGGTGAGAAATGAGGAGCACTGAAATAACTGCATTTTCTGCTGTGAAATCAAAAGACCAAAAGCCTAATCACATTGTCAGTCAGTAACCAGTCTAGTGCAA